TTGGTTTGGGAAAAGTAGGAAAGACTATAACAGACAAAAGAGAGGAAGAATATGAATAAAGAGAAAAAATTAAAGACATAAGAATATGACAAAAATGCAAAACATCATTCATATGTCATGGTCCTCCACACAGTGATGCATAAAAAACATCCTGTTCTAAATATGGTAGAGAGATTAGTGAATCAAAAAATAAAATAAAATAAATCTTGCTGGAAAGTCGAACTGTCTCTGTCAGTATTCAGTAGTTTCTCAGCTCTGTCTCTGACATCTCTTGGGACCACCAAACCCCGATCAGCCCTCGCAAACCCAGGCTCTATCCCACCAGTCTGGGCTTCAGATACCTCAGGCTCAGCCACACTGCAGTCCCAAGATCTCAATGCTCCTCCTACTTGCAGAGAGACCACCAGGGATACACTTATGCAAAGGAGCAACCCCGAGATGCAGCAGCACGACAAGGGCCACAGCACTCTCAGCAGAAAGACCCCATATGCCTTGAAACCTGCAAGCACCCCCACACTGGACCTGCAGGTCCCAGCTGGAGTCCCCAGACAGAGACTTTTATGGTGGTAAATCTGCTAGCACCCGGACCCCAGGCCCTGGCTGATGTCCCAAAATGGGTGCAGCCACGTGCAACCAAACCTGGAGTCTCCCCCGAAGCAGTCCTCTAGGCGGTGGTAGCAGCTGTAGTGGTGGTGGTTGTTGGCAGCAGGCAGCAGGTCAGCAGTAGTGGCTGCAGTGGCAGCTACAACTGCAGCTGTGGGGGAGTGTCACCAGGCAATCTCTGGGGGTCATCAGCAGTGTCGGCTTCAGTTGCATCCGGGGCAGCAGTTTCTTCTGTGGCAGCAGCACCCAGAAAGAAGACCTCCAGGTGATCTCAGGCTGGCAACAGCAGAATCAGAGGCAGCAGCAATGGCAGTAGTGGTGCAGGCAATGGTTGATTGACAGGAGACTTCTGGTTCAGTGGCAGCGACCACGGAGGTAGCATTGGAAATCAGGTCTGAGGTAACTGATGTTATGCCCAGAGAAGAGACTCTGGGCATGGCAGCATAATAAATCTTGAAGGGACCCTCACAGTAGATCCTTTAATGCCACGAGTAATCTCTTCCACCCTCCCTAGTAGATTTCAGGGTCACAGGATGAGGACACCAGCTTCTAGAACACTTTTTAGGGAGCCAGCCTTTGTCTTGATGTGGTGTCTTCACCCAGAGCATGCACCTGCGATAGAACACGTCCACTTTTCATAAGATGGCCAGAGGAGCCACCGTGTGTTCAAGTGACTGTGACCAGAGTCCAGAGTTGAGGGAAGGACAGGGTGGCTCTGCATCCCATTGGGAACTGGGAATGCATGGAGTCATGGCTCCCAGCACTTCCCTGAACCTGGGCATACTGTGTGCAGGGGGGAGGGGCTCCCTTGAGTGACAGCCTGTCATAACACAGTACTCACAGACCAGCAGCTGCGGCCTTCTCTGGGCCCTGCCTTTTTAAGGCAGCTCTCCTCCTGTCCCTGTTCCTTCTGGAGTTGCCTCCTCCGCCTCGCTCAGCTTTCCAGCGCACCTTCCTTCCTCCTACTTCCTAGGCTCGGGGACCTTTTCCTAGAGCCCCATTTTCTAATCTTGTGCTGGATGGCAGTTCCTCTTCCCCCCAGCAGCTACATTGAGCCCTGCTGCACTCTCCAACCCCAGGCACTGAGACCCTGGGTCCCATTTGCTTTCTTATTTTGGAATGAGCCCATGGACTTTTTAAATTGGGACATAATTCACATACTTTATAATCCACCCATTTACTTGTACAATTCAGTGGGGGTTTTGTATATTCATTTTTTTAAATTATGGTAAAATGTAGAATCTAAATTTACCATTTTAACCATTTTTTTTTTTAATATTTATTTTTTAGTTTTTCGGCGGACACAACATCTTTGTTTGTATGTGGTGCTGAGGATTGAACCCGGGCCGCACGCATGCCAGGCGAGCACACTACTGCTTGAGCCACATCCCCAGCCCCATTTTAACCATTTTAAGTGAACAATTGGATGACATCAATTATACTCACAATATTGTACAACCATCACCAGAATCTATTTCAAGCTCTCTTTTTGCCACAACCAAAACTTCTATACTCAAAAGCAATAACTCCCCATTTCTCTCTGCCCCCAGCCCCGGTCTTTGGCACTTCTAATCTATTTTCTATCTGTATGGATTCACCTATTCTAGATATCTCATATTTGTAGAGTTATACAAAATTTGTTTCTGGTTTCTTTCACTTAATGTTTCCAAGATTCATCCATAGTGCAACATGTGTCAGAACTTCATTCAACCTTAGACTGAAGAGTACTCCATTGTATGGATGTGCCACATTTTGTCACTTCATCTGTTGATGGACACTTAGATCGTTTCCACCTTTTGACTGGTGTGAATAACACTGCTGTAAACATTGGCACAGATACCTGTTTCAGTTTGTCTTTCACTCTCTTCAGGCACATGCCTAGAAATGGAATTGCTGGGTCACATAGTCACTTTATGTTTAGCTTTTAGAGGATTAAGCATTTGGACTGTTACAAGTGAGAAATGTGGGTCTTTATTAATTAAAATGTATCTATTTTATCTAAGTTAACGGGAAGTGCTATAATGTATGCAGCCAATTCATTCCTCACCTTCTTTTGATTTCTTAACAATTATCATCTGTGCGACTCATTTGACAGTTAATCACGGAAGACTTTGTGACATCCATTATTCTCTTTAACTGCTTATTTTAAAGCTTTCACTATTTAACTTGTCGTGTTGTCATACAGTCTCCCCCTGAGATTTTAATCTTGAGGGCAGAGACATGTATCATATTGCTTTGTAAGGTTATTCCTGCACACTCAGCATAGGTCTCAGTGATTCTTAACTGGTGACTTCTCACTGTCATTCTTATCAATCTTCTGGCTTTTGCATAGGCTAGAAGAGAAGGAACTTTTCCAGCTAGTCCTTGCCCTACTAGAATTCTCTTTGCCTAAATAAATTTTTTTGTAATCCTAATTAAAATAGCACAATTGGGTAGCCTTTATCCAAAATGCTGAAGACCAGAAGTGGATTTCAGATTTTTTTCAGATTATGGAATATTTGCGTATACATAATGAGATATCTTGGGGAGGGGAGCAAAGTCTAAGCACAGTATTTATTTGTGTTTTATATACACTTGACATACATGGCCTGAATGTACCTTGAAACTTCATACAATATTTTTAGTATTTTGACTGTGACCTACCACCTGAGATCAGGTGTTGAATTTTCCACTTTTGGCATCATGTCAGCACTCCAGAGGTTTTGGATGTTGGATTTGGGGGCTAGGGATACTCAACCTAGAACTTTTATGGAATACTTACCCTGTAGCATGCATATGCACTATTCCAAGCCCTCTACTTCTGTTTTCTCACTTGGTTCTCAGAACAAATCTCTGGCATAGCTGCTATTTTTTTTTTTTTTTAATATTCTTAGTTGTAGATGGACACAATACCTTTATTTTATTTATGTGGTGCTGAGGATTGAACCTAATACCTCACATGTGCCAGGCAAACACTCTGCCACTGAACTATATAACCCCAGCCCATAATTACTGCTCTTACCCACGTTTTATTAAGGAGGCAGAAGAATCCCAGAGAGGTTGAATAGCTATGGAGGCCCTGCTCAGCACATACCAAAGTGAGGCCTCTGGCCCATGTTCTTACCCACAGACCCATTTAGGGATCTTCTGCTCAGAGCCAGAGAGGACACCATGTACAGCCTCTGGAAGAATTATCCAGATCAGATGTCAGTTGTGCTGGATACCAGGAGCAGGGACCAGGCCCTCGCATGGCCTTTACAATACCAGCCCTTCCAGCCTCCTCTGCTTGCCTTCTGCCTGGACACCCCGGGCCATTGAATGTGCCCACTTCCATGCTGCCCTTCGAGTAGCAGAAATTCCTCTTGAAAAGAGACTGGTCTGGCCTGGGCCTTTGATGTTGGGCAAGACTCCTTGGGGGTCATTGGGAGTCCGTCAGGCTCTATAAATACCAGAAACTGACCACCTTGCTTTGGCAGTTATTTCTGAAAAACAAATGATCAGTATACAAAAATAGAACATCCATTTATAAAACCTTGCACAATAAGCAATAAGTCCCACATCCATCACCCTAACCCTCTCCCTAGGTTGGGAGGCAGTAGGACTGATTCCCAGAGAAACCACACTAACGTAAATATCTCTGAACAGAAGGTACTGGCCAAGAGCCATCCCGCGCCAGCTCCACCCTGCTGCAGATGAAGTTCCAGACAGAAGATGCCCAGGGGTTGAGAGCAACTTCCTCCCGCCTCAGCATGCAGGAGCCTTTCCACCAGGCCCTAGTGCAGTACCATCTCCTCCCTGATCTTGGCCCAGGCGATGGGGAAGCTGCAGGATGGTCAGACTTCCCCTAAGCAGGGGACTCCTGGGGGTCCCAGTTGCCTGCCCACCAAGTCACCCCACAGAGGGCACCAGATCCAGCTCTCCTCGCCCTTTCTCAGCACTCCTGCACTGTGCTGGGGGTCATACTCTCAGAGCAGTGCTGTGCCTTGGGTGACCCGTGGCCTCCTGCTAAAGCTCTCTCGTTCTCACAGGCCCAAGCCTACGCTTATGATCACTTTTCTTCCAATGCTGTTCTCCCAGACTGAGTCTCAGGTTGCCAGTTCTTTAGGTTCTCTCTCCTTACTCAGATAGCCCGTGCTGGTGGGCCAGAGGGAGTTGCCACACAGCTCTGCTGAGCCTGCCACACGGGGGAGAGCCCAGGGTTACCCAGAAGCTTCTCACTTCCCAATTTCCAGAAGCACCAAGAAGCCCAGCAGAAGCCTCTTCCTCCTCCTAAACACGTGCCTTGCCGGTGGTTAGATGGGTGACATTTGTGAACCTGGGGTACAGCAAGGGGCTTCACATGGCGAGTCCCTGAAATGCTGTATGGCATCTCACCTTACAGCCTTCTCACAGTTCTTTTTCTCACTTTGCCTTCGCAGCACTGTCTCCAAGCAAAGAAAAAATGTCATCAGCTGCGTCACAGTCCACGACTCTCCCTACTCGGACTCCTCCAGCAACACCAGCCCCTACTCTGTGCAGCAGCGCGCCGGGCACAATAACACCAACGCCTTTGACAGCAAGGGGACCCTGGAGAATCATTGTACTGGCAACCCCCGAACCATCATCGTGCCCCCCTTGAAGACCCAGGCCAGTGAGGTGTTGGTGGAATGTGACAGCCTGGGGCCAGGTAACTTGGGGCCAGGGCAGGCCAGAAACTGCTCTCTGGAGGTTGCGTTTCTTGTTTTCTAACTGCTAAGAACGTGAGCGCTAGTAAAATAGCAAGTGCTCCATTATCACCCATGGTCAAGGTCAGATTCATATAGGTCAGATTCACCTTCCATAAGCAGAGTTTTCCTTTTTTAATTCTATAATTAATGCCTTGCCACCTTCATAGTGGCTCTGCTTTCAACGAGGTTGGTAAATAAGAAGTGAAAGCCTCCCGCTCTTTATCCGCGGTCTGTGGTGATACCTGGTGCGGGGCATTCCTAACTGATGTCAAGCATCGCTCCCTGCCAGGAGCCTATGCTGGTCATTCATGTGTCCCCTGTAGGAAGAACTTTCTCCAAGTCTTTTTAGCGAAGGGTCAGATAGGCTTTTCTGAGCCCCTCCTCAAAATTCCCCCTTTGGAGGAGAAATCTCCCAAGTGTGATGTTTGGCTTTATTGAGAGAATGACCATCCTGAGAACTGGGCCCGAGCACAAGCCTGGGAATTCACCCCTCAGCCGAACAGCTCACTGCAGACTGACACAGCAGCCCCTCTCCAGCTTTCCCTTGCTCGGGCTCACTGTGGAAGAATTTGGGGAGTTAACCAAAAGAAATCTGCATGATCTGCATTTCTACCCAGGAAGATATTTTGGTGGAAACCATGCAGGAAGCAACATTTTTAAGGTTAAGTATTTGAAAAGGACATGATTTCTGTCACAGTGCACATTATATTATTATTTTTTAAAATATTTTTAGTTGTAGACCTACACAATAATTTTATGTTAAGTTATTTCTTTTATGTGTGCTGAGGACTGAACCCAATGCTCACACCTGCTAGGCAAATGCTCTACCACTGAGCCACAACCCTAGCCCCATTGTATCATTATTTAATTCTCTAAATACATGTTTTTTGTTTTTTGTTACTGGGGATTGAACCCAAGAGTAATTAACCACTGAGCCACATCCCCAGCCCTTTGTTATATTTTTATTTAGAGACAGGGCCTTGCCAACTTGCTTAGGGACTTGCTGAGTTGCTGAGGTTGGCTTTGAACTTGTGACTCTCCAGCCTCAGTCTCCCAAGCCTCTGGGATTACAGGCGTGTGCCACCGCACCTGGCTCTAAATACAGATTTGTGGAAGGCCTACAGCTGCAGATTGAACTCAGGACATGGGGAGTCTTCTAGGGGTGAGGGTGCTCCTCTTGGACTATGCCTGCCCTTCCAGCTGGTGGAAGTTTTCAAAACCAATATGATCCTTTGTCTGTAAAGTCATCCTAGGCTTGGAAGATTCTGGAAGGCAGCCTTCCTCAGCTTTCTGGTTTCCAGGAGGCCTGCACAGGCCAAGGCACACACCTGCTGCAGCTCTGACCCCAGGCCTGAGCCCCCAGCATCAGAGGGTTCAGAGTTCCATGAGCCTACTCAGGTCAGGGTGAACCCTGTTTCTAAACAGTGTGTTCCTCACAGACCATCCTTCCAAGGTTCTTGGATCAGAAGGTCCTTGAGGATTTCTCACATTGGCCCTGGGGGGTTGGTTAAGGATCTTCTGGAAGGCAATAGAATAAACTCTCCACTGGCCTGAGACAAAGAATATATTGGAAGGATGCAGGACTGAGGGAAAGTTCAACAATTAAGTTCCAGGCAGGCCAGAGCCAGAACTCCTGGCACCTGAGCCACCAGAGGCCAGACACCTGTGCTCTAGAGCAGCCTTTGCCCAACATGGGCCGAGTGACACCCAGGCTCCCAGGTTCCCCTTTCCGGGAGCCTCGTATTGACCCTCCTAGTTTGGAGCAAGCACTGTTCCTTGTGCATCTGCTCTTGCCAGGGCTCGGTGTTCAGTAGACCAACCAACATGAGTGATGGCTAATGCAGCTGATGCATGCTGACTGCAGGGCACCATGTGTTGGTGGGGAGTGCCAGGCAGCAAGCAGTCTGCATGTGGCGGCCCTCTAACCCTCACAGTAGCCCTGCATGTAGATACTGCCGTTTTCCTAGTTTTACAAGTGAAAAAAAGTTTAGCAAACACATCAAGGCATCCAACTGGCCCAAAGCCCTGTCCAGGCCTCCCAGGGTCTGGCTCTAGAGCTCACCTAAGCTGCACATGCTCCCTCACCTGGTATAGATAGGGCACAAATGGCTGTTTCCAGAACAAAGGGATCCCTGAGTAACTGGGTTAGGTATGAGCAGAAAAGTCCATGTTCCCTTACAATCCAGAACCTACATTAGGAGACCATCCTCCATTATAAGCCCATTGCCCCTTTATTGATCTCTGCAGATAGAATTGCTGCATGAATCTCCTGGTCCCTTCAGGACCCCTCCTTTATCCAGGGCTCTCTGCTCTAACAGCTTGACCAACTCTGACTCAGCTCCTGTCTCCTGTTCCCACAATGATGGTAGCAGGCACAACACCAGGCTCAGTAACCTTGTCACTTGCAGACTCAGGCTGTAAATCCCTCCGGCTCATTGTTTCCCCCTCAGATGTAATAACCACAAGATGTCCAGGAAGTCGGAATAGGAGCAGAGAGTGATCCAGAGCTGGGCCCAGCAGCAAGCCCAGCCTGCGATCTGCTGCAGAGAGGGAAGGGGGTAGACAGTCACCTGGCTGAGGGAAGAAGAGAAGCAAGCCCTTCTAATGGCCAGCACTTGCAGCCTTCTATTTTTAGGACCACAAAAGCCCCTTCTTCCCCTGCAATTTGGGGGGGGCCTTTGAGGGTCTAACTGGGTTTGGATTGGGCACAGTGAATCAGGACCTGATTCCCAAATGCAGGTCTGCTCTGTGGGGCCAGGATGGCTCTGGATGGCTGGGAAGTTCAACATGCCAATTCCCAGGCACCCACCCGAGGGACTCTGAAGCGGTGAGTGGGTAGGAGGGGCCCTGGGTGCCAATACACAGTTGGATTGGGGGCCTCTATTTAGGACCCACCACCTTCCACTCTACTGAGGCGGCTCTCCTTTCACTCTGGACCTGTGTTGAGTGGCAGGAGGTTCCTCTCTGCCTTCAGTGTGTGCCCTGTCCCTGGGTTTCCAGTCCCCTTTGCCCTTCTACTGAAGCGAAGCCCTTTGAAGGTACTCTTCTCCTTTCATCAACAGTTGATCTGCATTCTTGTGCTTGGCCCCAGCTTCAAGCTTCTCTCTTTGACTTTGATTTCGTCACCCAGGGGGTTTGTCACAGAATTGGCCCAATCTAATTCATTCAAACGCCTGATCTTTATTATGTGTTAATATTTAACACCCTGTCTCCCAGGAATGACCAGATTCACCAGTTTTATACCAGTTGCAACAGGATACCTAGTTGAGACAGTGATAGTCTTCTGTTTTGGCCTAAGATACTCAGGCCCCAACTTAAAATTTCCTGGATTCTTGTTGCCACACAGCCTGAGATGAAGAACTGATTTTTTACACTCTTGCCACTTCTTCCCTCATGGTTCTCTTGAACACCAACTTTGGGCACCTTCCCCAAAATGGGCAGTTTTCATGCTGAGGAGTCAGGTGAAGGAGACAGTGTTTTGGTAGCTGACCGGATCCCCTGTACCAAGGGGATCCATGTTACCTGTCAGTTATTTCATCTTGACGTTCATGCATCTGTGGTAGACAGGGCTTCTCGTTGGTTTCTAGAGACACGCTGAGGAGCACGCCAGCAGTGACACTAGATCTGCGCTCTGCCAGGTCCAGCGAGTGGCAGTCCTTCCCTGTGCTTTACCAAGCCACCTGCTAGGAGCTGGTGTTCACATATTGCTCATCACCAAAACTGACAAAAATGAGTTATTTCATGGAAATCTCTTGTACTATTCATTTCATTCTAGTTTTTTTCCTCTAGGGCATGAGGCCCTGTCTTTTGAGACTCAGTTATCTGATTCCTTCTGTCACTTTGTGTCTGTCTCAGCTCCCCACCAGCACCACAGCACACTGAAGACCTGTCCAGATCTCTCCTTCTCTTTTCTCTTACACCCTTCTTATTCTTTCCAGTGTTACCAGATAGTAATTCTGAGTACAGCAAGGTTTGCAGAAAATATAAATCACAGAAATACACTTGTCCTCCATAGAAAGTTAAGGTAGTAAAAGTATTTTAGTCATATTCCAAAAAACTTAACAATGAAAATTGAGTCACTAAGTACAAGTCACAGGCATGAAGTGCTCAAACACAGAACAATGTGAGCCAATCTCTGTCCTTAGACTGAGGACCCAACCTGTCCCAACCAGCAGGGAAATCAGATCGCCCCAGCCCCACCCCAGGCTGCAGATGCCTTCCTGGCTGGCCTGCTCATATTGGCCCTTTCCATCTCTATGATCTGTGATGCCTCTTCCTTATTCCTGCTGTCACCTCATCCATTCCGGGTGACTAATAGTCACAGTGCCCAGCCCAAGCAGGAGCTCAAACTTATTTGTTGGCTGATTAAGACAGCTGGTCTTTGGAGAGGCTCCTTGACTCCCTCTGGCTGCCCAGCCAGAACCATCCTACCTAGGTGACAGCCCACCATTCCTAGAGCCCCTGAGCCCCTGGAGTGTGGGACCGCCTGCCAGCAGCAGTGCAGCACCTGGAGGCTTGTTAGAATTCAGATTCTCCACCCACCTTAAGTTGTTGGGCCAGAATCAGGATTCGCGGGATTTGGCACCCCCTGCTGGCAAGGTTGAATTCCTGCATCTTTGCAGCCCCCTTGTCAGGGGAGGAAACTACTTGACCATGTTCAACTCCTGGGCTAGTCCCAGAGTGAATTCATCTTATCTTGACCAACGGAGCAAGCCCGAGCCCAGCTGCCACTCCAAAGTCAAGACTGAGTGTGGGGGCTGAGGCTGATTTTTGCACGGCCAGTCTCAGGGACGTGTCCTCCTGAGAAGGCCACTGTAACCTGAAGTGGGAGCATCTTCCAGTCAACCAAGGAGCCGCCACTGACCTGTGACCTGTTCCTCCTCCTACCACAGTCAACACCAGTCACCACTCGTCCTCCTACAAGTCCAAGTCCTCCAGCAATGTGACCTCTACCAGCGGTCATTCTTCAGGGAGCTCGTCGGGAGCCATCGCCTACCGGCAGCAGCGGCCAGGCCCCCATTTCCAGCAGCAGCAGCCCCTCAATCTCAGTCAGGTAAGCCCCACTCAGGCCCATCGCCTCAGCTCCCCACTCTTCAGCTGCAGAGAGGGTCATGGAAGCAGCCCTCGCCACCTCCTGGGCCTGTGGTTCCCCTAGTGGTGGCAGGAAATTTCCTGAGTGACCCCAGCGGCTTCTTTCCACCCTGGATCATCTCTGGGGAAGCTGATACCACTGGGCCACAGAGAGCCAGCCCAAAGTGACTTGACTGATGTTCTAAGCACCTATAACACAAGAGGCCCCATATAGTGCTGTCTCAGCCCAGCAGAGGGTAGACGCAGTGTCCTGCCCAGCAGCCTGGGCCAGCAGGGACAGCCCGGCTTTCTCCTTACTGCAGGGAAGGAAACCTCACACCTATTCCACAGAACAAGGAAAAGAATGGCCTAGGATCTCACGTGTCACGGCGGCTTAGGTTCTCGAGGGGAAAGAGGGCTATTTGGTTGGACTGATAGAATTTCAAACAGAGTTGTCTTAAGAGTCTGAGATTTCACAGTGGGTAAGGAAGTAGTCGCCCTCAAAACAGGATCTCTTGACACCTTACATCCCACTGCCTTTGTCCTGGCTTGCTCTGTGTCATCCCAGCCTGCGCACGGCAGGCCAGATGTCCCTTTCTCAGTCCAAACTTATTTTCACTGTCACCACACAAAGGGAAGCATCTGTTGTCCCTCCTGCCACCTCTTCTCCTCACCCCCCTCCTCCCCACTGGCCTCCCCTTCCTCCCCTGACGCAGCCCCTCTCGCTGCTTCTTCTCAGGCCCAGCAGCACATGGCCGCAGACCGCACCGGGAGCCATCGACGGCAGCAGGCCTACATCACTCCCACCATGGCTCAGGCTCCGTACACCTTCCCACACAACAGCCCCAGCCACGGCACTGTCCACCCCCACCTGGCTGCCGCTGCCGCCGCCCACCTCCCCACCCAGCCTCACCTCTACACCTACACAGCGCCTGCAGCCCTGGGCTCCACTGGCACCGTGGCCCACCTGGTGGCCTCCCAAGGCTCGGCTCGCCACACCGTGCAGCACACTGCCTACCCGGCCAGCATCGTCCACCAGGTCCCCGTGAGCATGGGCCCCCGGGTCCTGCCCTCGCCCACCATCCACCCGAGTCAGTATCCAGCCCAGTTTGCTCACCAGACCTACATCAGCGCCTCGCCAGCCTCCACCGTCTACACTGGATACCCACTGAGCCCTGCCAAGGTCAACCAGTACCCTTACATATAACCACGGGCCTGGGGAGGGGAGGGAGGGAGGCTGCTCCTGGGACCCTGGGGAGCCGGCTTTTTATACTGAGGTGCCGCACACAAACAATGCAAAAGGGGCAGGGGAGGGGGGCAGGGGACGGGGGCAGGGGACAGGGACGGGACACCAATGAAACTTGAACTAGGAAGTGGGAGGACTTAGAGCAGAGAAGAGAACATTTTAAAAGGAAGGGATTAAGGAGAGGGAAATCTATGCTTTTTATTTTAAAAAAAGAAAAAGAAAAAAAAAAGAAAACATCAGTAACAAAAAAAAATTTTAAAAAAAAAATTTAAAAAAAACAGCTCACAAACCCATTCTGCACCAAACTGGAAAGGAGAAGAAGAGAGCCACGGGAAGATTCCAGAAGCGAGGGGCCCCAGTTTTTGAAGAACTTTATCTATGAACTTTTCAAAAGATTATTTTCATATGGCAGCGAATAACATTGAAGAATTTGCTGTCAGGGACACCTGATATGGAAATCCAATAGATTTTTAATTAATTAAACATAAGAATTAGGGATTTTTCCAGAATGCTAAAGGGTCAACACCCCTCCATAGTCAGGCCATGGCCTGAGAGGCTGATTTGGGGGTTGGGGGGCTGGCGAAGCCCAGCCCTGGCTTGTTTATCAGAAATGATGGGCTCGGCCAGGCTGACCAGAGACTCCGTGGGAGGGGGCGGGTTTTCTCTTCTGAGCACTCTGGATAAATCCCTAAGCAATGTTATTCCTCAGATGTCATTAACGATGTGTGTTACAAACTTGAGATTTTTTTTTCCTTTCTGAAGATCTATTTTCCTTTGAGTCCACCCCATCACATAGCGCAGGCTGGCGCCGTCGAGGTACCCTGGTGGAATGTAGCCCTGCGCCCTTGCTGTGTACCTTGTGTTCAACTCCAGCGATACCAATAGACTATTCCTGTGTAATTGCACAAAACAAAGTGATATAACTTAGGCGTGTAACCAATGCAGTGGTCCCGGTGAGCGAGCGTGTGTGGCCAGCGCGTGGGTGTGAGCGCGGAGGCCACCTCCCTGTGTCCCTCGGCACCGCGTCACAGCCCTCGCAGTCTTGCTTTTGCATCATTCCCTCCTAGTGCCTTACGGAACGACAGACAGACTCGGTGTAGGGAGGCTCCCGCTGGCACCCCAGGAAGCCAGCCGAGCTGATCCAGGCCACCTCAGCTCTTCTGTTGCGCTGTTGGAACATTCACTCGGGTCTTTCCTTTTTGGTTCTTTTTGTTGTTGTTTTTCCCCATGCCCATTGTCCTTCTTGGGCTGTTTGCTGGCAGGGCTTCAAGGAGAATCCATGGACTTGAGAGTGACAGGGCTCTGTGGTGGGAGGGCACATCTGATGACCCGAATGCTTTGTGTTGAGTTTTACTTTGGGAGCAGATACCCAGAGACTCCCCACCCTTCACCTTCACCCTGCCCAGTTCTGCCCATCAGACCAGCTCTGGCACTGATACCAGGGATTTTAAGAATGTCCGCTTTGCAGAGCAGCAGCCTCCAGGCCCACCACCACCTTCCTACGACCGTCTGCAGGGAGTCAAGGAGGCTACACACACCCCAGCTGCACCCCGGTCCCTCCATCCCACAGGAAGCCTGGCGTCCGCAGCCCCGCCCCACGCTTCCCTCTCCACCAGCTCCCTGGGCGCTGTTTTGCTCTGCCCATTTGGCCAGATCCCCAGCTCTATAGACAACCACCAACCCGTTTGTTGTTGAATTCTTTCCTTGGATTACCCAGGTCTGCTCAAGACATGATTTTGGTCTTGGCATTTGAGGAGTCTGGTGGGCAGAGGTTGGAGGGATGCTGATGAGGGTGACCAGGGGTCCTATGCTGCACTTGAGAAAACACTCTCACAGATGATTAAGTCTCCAAAGAAATCTGGCCTGCACCCTCTATGTACATTGGCTCCATCCTGGAAGTTTTCTCAGGCTTTGGACACAGCAGGTAGGGATGGGAAGGGAGTCCTCTCTGCTCTTAGGGAATAACTCTGAAGCAGGTAGACACTCAGAAGCTCTCTGGTCAAGAACGGGGCTTGACAGATGGCTCCGATTGTTTGATCCTGACGCAGAGTCCTTACCTGACACCTCAGCCAAGTTCCAGGTGCAAAGAGCTCTTCTGGGTCAGAGCCTCGGCCTTCTCCTTGCCTTTGCTGCCTCACTCTGCGGGCCCTAGCAATCTACTGTGAAAGGGGTTTTTGTAGTGATATCCGCCCTCATTCAGTAATGAAGTCGGTACTTAGCTCTTAGCTGTGAAGGAACTCTGGAAACTTCCCCTCCCCGAACATAAATTCTTATAAAGAAATAGGTCCCTGGACTGGAGAGGATGAAGTGCCGGCCTTAGGCCCGAAGGAAGGACACAGCACCTGTGCAAGGCCAGGCACACTCAGTGGTGCCACAAGGACCCGCCTGAGGCAGGGCTGCAGTGGATCTGCAGGAGACGCTCCCTGGGGCCCAGGTCAGTGTGGCTTCAGCTGGAGGTGGGGAGGCGCCTGTCCCGAGACAGCAGGAAGAGGCCAGCTGAGAGCGCGAGGGCACAGGCCTTCAGAGGACGCCGGAGCTGGAGCCGCGCCAGCCTGGAAAACCTTTCTGTTTGGACTTTCAGCAGCCAAATGGCCACAGAGCCCCACCAGATCCTCTCCTACAGTTACAAGGCGTCTAGTCTTGGCTGAAAATGAGCCTCAGTCTGCCTGTCTGAGCAGCGCTCTGGACTCCCGGCACAGTGCAGTTCCAGCCCTTTCTAGATCTCATCTTTTAGGGGGAAGACAACTTCCAATGTTTTTCCATTTCCTTTTGTCTGCTTAAATTGAAGCTTCTCTCTCTTTCACCTGATGTTTTCTCTCCTTTTCTCCTTCCAGATCAGGAATGAAAGTTCCATGCTGCTCATGAAGTCGATGTTATTGTGCTGATTATTTTTGTTATTGCCATTGTAATTATGTTCATTATCATCGTATTGCTGTTTTAGTCAGGGTTTTAAATGCACATTTATTCCAAGTTTCTTTGTGTTTTCTCTTTAATATTTAAATTTACTATATCTGTGAGTATAGGAGAAGACTGGAGGGACATACAGAAGTCCGATTTTGTCAGACAAAAAAAAGAAAAGCCCTGGAAATTAGGAAGATTGTTTCTTTCATTTCTTCCACAAAGAGCCACTGAGGAAGACCTACCACAGAGCAAAGTGTGAAGAGTCAAGGCCTTTCCTCTGCAAAACCCAGCTGAGGCCCTGGACAGCATGATCGCCATTGATATATTTTTCTAATTTCCAGTAGCCTGGGAGGCCACCTGAGGAGGCAGCTTCTGGGCTCAGGGACGCCGGGTGCACTGACCCTGGAACGCTTAGCTCCCCCCCCCAGCCCCGCTTTCTATGCTCTCCTGTTCATCCCCAATCTGCTAACTACACTCTTAGCCTGCCTCATATCTGTTTAAGCAAAAAAGCTCCTCTTCCCGGAGCTCACGCAGCCCCTTTCCAAAACATTCACCCTTCCCATCAGCCCCCCGAAAGCGTGGCTTGCATCCTTCAGTGCAGAGGCAGTTCCCCGCTCCCCCCCATGCCTCTGTCTTACTTTCCCTCAATAATCACCTCCCCCACTTCTTCGGTCTGCCCCTTCCCCCTGGATACATCCTCCCAACACACAGTTCTCTCAAGCCAAATAAAGGTGGCAGAATGAGGAAGAAGCCAGAGAACCCCGAGTGAAGCCACTCAGACATTGCCACGTGTCCCCCACAATATTCTTTACAAGTGGGGGAGCACGGCAGGACCTCGCAGCCTTTCCTGGGCTCTTCCTGTGCCCTTAGTGTCCTGGGCTGTGAGTGATGGGTGCCCACACACTGCCCACCAAGCCCAGAAACTACTAAAGCTAAAGTGGCCAGTTTCCCTGAAGGGAAGTAAGCTGTTGGGCAGTGGACAGCCCCTCTGACACTCAGCAGATATTCATGTCCACCTAGTCCTCACCCAGCATCCTTTGTCTCAAGCACAAAGCTGTTGCATTGGAAGCCACACAAGGAGACCCCAGCGTGACCATTAGCTTCCGTGCCCAAACCCCCCCACCCCTGGTAATCTAGCACTAAGCCCCCTTGGCAGAGAGTTTCATAAAAGGGTGCCATCCCTGGGACCAAGCTTTCAAGTGGGGAGATGTTCTCCTTGTCCTCAGGTAGACCACAAATCCCCTATGGCATCACCAAGCCTTGGATTGGCTCCATCCTTCCTCAGTGAAGAAACTCAGCTCAGAGTGAAGGGAGGATCGAGAAGGACAGGTCACACAGAAGCGTTTCATTGGAACCTCATGAACCTCAGGTCAGTGTGCTCCCACAGGGTTCTCACCCATCCAGGCGGTGGCACCCATGTCCCTGTGCTTAGTGCCTCTGGTGATATTTGGGATGTTCCCAAGGGAAAGGGTGAGCAGGCCAATGGTGTGCAAGTCCAGTGGATGTCAGTTTGGACTGCGAGGCAGAGCAGGTGGTCAGGGTGATTCAGAGGAAGCAGGGTGAAGCGCGGTGCCATTGTCTCCTGGACGGTCGCATTTCTCACCCTCCTGGTAGCTGATTGTTGTGGGCTGTGGAAGCCAGCTGGGCTTTGTCCTCTTCAGCTGGGGGACTCACACCTGCCCAGACGCCATGGTTCCAGATGGAAGGTCAGGGAGGGGAAATCAGCACAAGTGACAGGATGACTTCCCTGGACTAGATCCTGGGAGTTGCAGACACTCCCAAGCTTTGAACAAGCTTGTGGTGGAGGGTTTGGGTCGTGTGCGTGCGTGCATGTGAGTGAGCGGAGCAGACATTATTGGAAACTGGAGCAAGGAGATGAGGAGGCTTAAGGAAGTATTACTGAAGGTTCATGGTCGGGAGAACGACGTGGGTCCCCGCCCCTCCCCAGCTCTCCCGCCAGCTTCTCATTGACTGAGGGCAGGGTGGCACGCGGTAGGGCATTTGCTCCTGCTGGCCTGCCAAGCAGCTGAAGGACAGAAAACGGAAAGAAGAAAATAGCTCAGTGTCCTCAACCAGCAGAGAGAACTAAACCGAGAGGCGAGGGTTCCT